ATTTTAAAATGCTTTTTTATATTTTTTATAGATAGTTTTTTTTCTTTTTACAAGTTTTTAATAGTTTAACTATTTTTTTTCTAATTCTTAAAACAATTTAAAAATTTTTTTCAAATATTTTTGTTTTTCTATATATTTTTCGCACAATTTGCCTAAAAATCTACGCATTGCACAAATTACTGTAAAAAAATATGAAAACACAAAGGCGAGCGCAAGTACACGCAAGGCGAAATGCAGTCAGTGCAATATGGCGCCTTCGTGGGGCAAGTTAACCACGCCCACCAACCGCCAACGGTGAGTAAAAACATTTTTTTCTGCATTATTATTTTAATTTTATTTTGTCATTTTATTCTGTTTTGCCATAAGCTTTGTGTATGTCTAGTTATATATGTATGTACATACATACATACGTATATAGAAACATATAATTAGGCACCATAAAATACTAATAAAAATTCGTTTCATTCAATTCATGCTGCATACACATATAAAGGTCAAAGCGAAAATATACATAAAGTAGGTTAACAAGCGTAAAATAATTTAGATTTTGCTAACATATTTATCCAACTAAAACACTACAAATAAATCACACTCTTTATAGACGAAGGAGGTACGCATAAGCACTGTGAACTTAACCGAACCGCAACGCGCGCTACTCGGCTACATCTCGGCGGGTCAAGATGTCTTGCTGCGTGCCGATGAGGAGCTTAGAACGAAGGTATATAACAGTAAAGCCCCTCAAAAACGCTCGCATTCACAACTAAGACACACACTAAAATCTCGTTTGCTACTTTTAGGCGCCAATACAGGAGCTCGGCACGGACTTGCGTTCGATCGAATGGCGTGAGAACACCTTGGATACTTCAAAGCAGGCCGTGACCAGTCATGTGGCTACAATGAATGCGGCTACCGCACAAATTATAACCGCCTCACAGTTCGATGAGGTCGATACGGAGGCTATTTCCGCATCAGTTTCACAAATAACACAAACCATACCGGAAGTAACGAAGGAGGTGCGTCTAATCGCCGCGCTCATGGAGGATAGTAACAATGGTGATCGTTTGTTAGATGCCGCACGTAATTTATGCAATGCCTTCAGCGATTTGTTGAAGGCTGCCGAGCCGGAGAGCAAAGAACCTTCACAGAATCTCATCAATGCCGCTAGTCGCGTGGGTGAGGCGACGACGCATGTGCTCAGCACCATTGCTGAAGAGGAAGCGCCTGAAAATAGTGATTTGCATGATATGCTTTTGACTTTGGCCAAGGCCGTGGCGAATACCACTGCCGCTTTGATGTTGCGCGCCAAGGCGATTGCGGCCAGCTGCGAGGATGAGGAGTCACGCAATCGCGTTATTGGCGCGGCCAGTCAATGCGCCTTGGCGACTAGTCAGCTGGTGGCTTGCGCTAAAGTTGTTGCGCCAACGTTGCATAATGCCGCTTGTCGTGAACAATTGGAGGCAGCGGCACGTAATGTGGCGCGCGCTGTTAACAACTTGTGTGAGGTGTGCAACGATGCCACTAACGATCCGAAACTGAAGAATGATCTGCTTGCCGCCGCACGTGATGTGTCGAAGAGTTTGAGTGATATGTTGGATCACGTGAAGTTGAGTTCGCGCGAATATGCTAGTCGCACCAGCCAAGAGATGAGTCCGGTGGAGAATGTTATTATCGGCACGGACATACTTGTGTCGTCCAATGATCCACAGGAAATGGTACGTCACGCCAAAACGCTCGGACAAGCAACCGCACAATTGATACAGAGCATCAAGGGTGAGGCGGATCAACAGAAGGATGAGGATATGCAACGTCGTTTGCTTTCAGCCGCCAAGCAGTTGGCTGATGCTACAGCAAAACTCGTCGAAGCCGCACGCCTCTGCTCCGGTAATCCACAAAACACCGAAAATCAAAATGCTTTGCGTCGCGCGGCCGAGGAGTTGCGTGAAATCACAACCACCACTGCAAATACGCCAGCCATGAAACGTAATCTAATTCATCGTCTCGAGTACTGCTCCAAACAGGCTGCCTCGGCGGCTACCCAATGCATTTCGGCAGCACAGAATGCCGTGCAGCATAGTGATGACCATCAAACTAAGGAGCAATTGTTGCAAGACTGTAAACGCGCGGCCGACACAATACCACGTTTGGTGACCTCGGTGAAGACCACACGTTCCAGTCCAGATGATCCTAATGCCCAACTAAATCTTATCGAAGCCGCTGAGCAATTTATCGAACCAGCCATACAGGTATCGCGTTCCGCACGCGCGCTACAACCCACCGTCACCGATATACCCTCAGCGACCCAGCTCTCGAAGAGCGCACTTTATTTGGGTCAAACCGTGTCCGAATTGAATTCGGCCGCGCAACGTGCACGTGAAGCTTGCGGCGGTCAAGAATTGGAGTCTGCCTTGGAGGCGGTGCGCAATCTGCACAACGTGCTGGACGACACACGTAAGGCGGCGCAATCGGGCAGCATTCGTCCATTGCCTGGCGAGACGGTCGAAAACACCGCACAACAGTTGCGCATCTCTGCCAAAAATGTGGGTCTGGCGCTCAGACAGTTGCTCTCATCGGTTATACAAGAACAACGTCGTTACGCAGGTGTGGCCGGACGTGATACCGCTTTAGCGCTCGGTGATTTCACAAAGAGCGTGCATGGCGTTGCAGCTACAACAAAGAACCCGGTTGTTATAGATTGCGCCGACGATGTGGTATTGCACTCGGCGCGCCTGATCGAAGAAGCACAACGCACGCTGCAAAATGTCGGCAACACCGATGCGCTAACCAAATCTGGACGTGATGTGACCGCTGCGCTTTCGAAGACTGTCGATTGCATACCTGGTCAACGTGAAGTGGATAATGCCTTGCGTAATGTGAGTGAATTAAGTGAAATACTCTCGATGAGTGAATTCCCACCGTCGGAACGTAACTACAACACATTGCAGTCGGAGTTGAAACAGGTCGCCGAGGGTCTCAGCGCGGCTAGCGGTCAAATAGTGCTGGCGTACGATAGTCCTGCGCAATTAGCCGATACTAGCCAAAACTTTGCCACCAACTATCGCGATCTGCTCGCTGTTTCAATGGAGATGGTCGGTCAAACGCCCGATGAGGTCGTACGCTCCGAAATGATCGACCGTTTGCGCAATGTCTCCACGCAATCTTGTTCATTACTATCTGCCGCCAAGTCAATTGCCGCCGATCCAGGTCAACCAAATGCCAAGAATCTGTTGCATGCCGCAGCTCGCAGTGTCATCGAAAGCATTAACAAACTCGTCGACGCCAGCATACAATCGGCGCCGGGACAAAAGGAGTGCGACAATGCCATACGCAACATTGAGGGTCTGCGCGTAATGCTGGACTATCCACATGAGCCCATCAACGAACAGGGCTACTTCGAATGCGTCGAGAATGCGACCGGCAAGTCACGCAATTTGGGTTACGCCATTTCCGAGATGATTAACAATGCAAAACAATCGAATCACGTTGGTTTTGGTCAGTCGGTGAACACCGTGGGAGAGTCCATACATAGCTTGATCGAGTCATCTGCACAGGCCGCCTATTTAATTGGTGTATCGCATCCGAGTAGCGTAGCCGGACGTCCGGGTATCATTGATCAGGCTCAACTGAGCTGGGCTTATCAGGGTATTCGTCAGCATTGCGAGATTGTGAGCAGCGCCAAAGCCACAAAACAACAAAAGATATCGGCGCTAACGGTAATCGCCAAGCATACCAGCTATTTGTGTTCCATCTGCCGACAGGCCAGCATGAACACCAACAATCCGGTGGCAAAGAATGAATTCATTGTGTTGGCTAAACAAGTTGCCACAGCCACCTCGAACTTGGTACAGGAGATAAAGAGTATTGAGGACGAACCATCCACACCAACGCGCGCACGCCTCGTAGAACCGCTATTGGAGTCTGTGAAAGCGGTACGTCAATATGCTTCCAGTCCGGAATTTATTTCGGTGCCAGCAAAGATTTCCGCCGAAGGTCGCAAGGCGCAAGAACCTGTCATCAATGCTGGACGCGGTGTTATAGACGGCGTGATCGAAATGGTGAAGGCCGCAAAATCATTGGCGCTCTCACCGGATGATCCACCAGTGTGGCAACAACTTTCCAATGCCTCAGCGCCCGTCTCCGAATCCGTGAAACGTTTGGTGGACAACATACGCGATAAAGCGCCGGGTCAAGCGCAATGCGAACAGGTTTTGCATACGCTGAACACGTGCACGCGTGAATTGGATAGCTGCGCCATGGCTGTCAGCGCACAGGGTTTGAGTCAACGCCGCGATAATAATTTACATGGCTTCAGCGGTCAAACATTGAATTCCGCTGCGGAGTTAATTGACAAACTCGAACCCATACGTATGGCGGGCAAGAACAATGCCGAGCAATTGGGACATGCTGTCGGCGAGATTTCACGCTACATTGTGCCCATGGTGAATGGCGCCATCGGCGCTTGCACGCACATCGTTCACACCAACCAACAAATGAGTTTGATCAATCAAACGAAATCGGTGGTGGAGAGCGCTGTCACGCTAGTGCAAGCCGCTAAAGATTCGGCCGGCAATCCACGTTCCACACATGCGCACACACACTTGGACGAGTCCATCGATTACACGCGTCAAGCGATACAAGAGCTAACGGAAACTGTGGAGAAGATCAACGCGGATATGGGTGTTGTAACGGGTCTGATGGAGCAAGTGAATCGTGCCATTACACGTTTGACCGACAAACGTCAATCGTTGCTTAATGCCTCCTACTCCGACTCATTCGTTGACTATCAAACACGCATGGTGCAATCGGCTAAGGAAATTGCGCGCCTAGCAAATGACATGAACGCCAAGGCAACCATCGAACCGCAACTACTGCCGCAAATTGCCTTAGAAATGACACAGCATTACACGCAGTTGACACAGGATTCGGTGGGTGCATCGACGACTACATCCACACCGGATGTAGCTATGCGCATACGTTCGAGTGTGGTGGATTTGGGTCGCTCGGTGAGCGCTATGATACAATCGGGTGCAACTGGCGCACGTCCCAACGACGTGTCAAGTCAAGGCGAAATCGCCCGCAACGCACGTGACGTCTCCGAAAAGGTCGCACAGGTTTTGGCTGCACTACAGGCCGGCTCACGTGGCACCCAAGCTTGCATTAATGCTGCGCACACTGTGTCCGGCATAATTGGCGATCTCGATACGACCATTATGTTTGCCACCGCCGGCACTTTGCATTCGGACGGTGATGGCTCATTCGCCGATCATCGCGAACATATTCTGCAAACCGCTAAGGCTTTGGTGGAGGACACAAAAGTACTGGTCACTGGCGCTGCAGGCACACAAGAGGAACTGGCGAACGCCGCACAGAATGCCGTCTCAACTATATGTAAGTGTGACGTTTAAGTTATTATAGCGCTTTGTAGTGATTTTATAAATATTCTTGCTTTCTTTAGTACAACTTTCGGAAGCTGTTAAGCGTGGCGCTTGTAGTCTAGGCTCTACACAGCCGGATTCGCAAGTTATGGTTATCAATGCCGTTAAGGATGTCGCATCTGCTTTGGGTGATTTGATTAATGCCACCAAATTGGCTTCAGGCAAACCCATACACGATCCATCGATGCAAGATTTGAAGGAGAGCGCTAGGGTAAGTAGTGTTGCCATATTCATTCATACGTTTTTTTTTTTTACATTGAAAATTGAAATTTTTATTATTTTCACACACTCTAGTATTGAGTTATCGTTTCAATACTTTAATACGTCAGTCAGATTTCAATGCTTTCGTTGTTGTGGTGCTTTTAATTTTATTTTCTCTCTCATATTAATAATTAAATATGTTTTTGAAGAATTTTTCTCAAAAATCAGCTTTCTAACTTTAATATTTTTCATATAATATTTTTGTTGTAAAAACACCGATTTTATTTTCATGGAGTCAACGCGTGTTTAACTTTCACCTAAGAAATTGCATTTGCTGCGTTTTCTAACCGAATAATATAGACATACACTCAGTTATATACATACATATATATAAATATTTAAATAGTTTTTGTGTTTTGGTACTTTGGACTGTTTCATTTTAACTAAAAATTGCATGTGTCATTAAAATTTCATATTTCATTACAACGATTAATGCTGAGTGGGAATCTTGTGGAAAAATATTTTAAGAAGTAATGTAAGGCAATTTTTGTTTATAGAGTCAGCGAGTTTCTACTTAGGCGGTAGAGTGCTTAGAGTTTGCGTTAAAAAGTAGGCAGCAAAATATACCATAAACTTGTATGAGAGAGGTCACTAACTGGTATTGGGTAAAACTTTATTCTAAATAATATATAGAAAATTACAAAAATTTCTCACTTTTAAATGATTACATAGCCAAGCTTTCTTGTTCGGCATTATACTTTTTATTTTAGCACTCAAAAGGGTAGGCAACAAAATATAAAATTCATAGAGTGAGATTACTAGTAGGTTTTGGGTATAGATTTCTTCTTTTGAACGCTCCAATTACACGAAATTACAGAAGTTTCTCACTTTTAAAAGGAATAATTCTGCTTCATCTTGTAGCCGTTGTATGGAATTTTTTTTTATTTGCCAATATAACTTCACGAAATTTGACATGGTTCATTACCGAAGGCAACAGTACAATCTCAGCACAACTTATTCAGATCAGACCACTATAGGTTATAGCTGTCATACAAGCTGAACAATCGACGAAATGTCTTCAAACATTGGGCATGAATTACTGTCCAAGACACCGCTACAATCCCGAATAAATTATTCACAATGAAGTTCTTATATGAAAAACTTTCTTCCTTGACAAAAGATCTTCACTAAATTTGAGACTATTTATTATACAAGGCAACGCTACCATCTCTAAACAATTAAAATCAAGTTCTTGTATGAAAAATGATTCGTCGATTGGTGAAGGAGTCTAGCTTAGATGTAACCGAGGTGAACGAGTTTTTTTTTTTTTTTTTTTTTTTTTTGTTTTGTTGGTTCCTTAGAAAATACTGACTCTACAATCTCCGTTTTCTTCATTTTTTGTGTTCAAATACATTGCAAATGCATTACAAATTCATCATTGTAGCACATTAATACATTTAAAGCACTTGAAAATTTGACAACAACAAAAGCTGTGTTTTCAATAAATTTGGTAACACTTCTGCCAACATTTTTCACACACAAATATATCCACTAGATTTATAAACCCATTTTTCTTATTATAGAAGTCACCAAATTAATTACTATGTTTTAAAATAATTATTTATATAAAAACAAAATGGCTTTGGCACTTCATTTAATACTTCAGTAAATACAAATATTTGTATAAAAATGGATAGCACTTCAAAATTGTGCATTTTAGGGTGGGTTAAATTTGTATAGTAAAATAAATTTAGATTTATGTTTTAAAATTATAAATAATTGTAAATTAATGCAGAGTTAATGCAGGTCTCCTCACTTGAATCTATAACTTTTCTCATATTTAGCTTCCACAAATAATTTGAAAAAAGTAAAAGCAACAAAACTAATTTCGCCACCGTTTGTAAATATTAACTTGTAGTTGCTATTTGTTGTTGTTTTTTTTTTTTAATAATTTATAATAATTGTGTATCACAGTTTTGTACATGACGCATTCTCATATTTATCGTTCTGTGTCAGCTGTGTAATGGTAACCACCTTTGCCTACACCTATTCAAAATAATTATTAATCAAATAAGAAAGGCCTGCGCAAACGTCTAATTAGCCTGCAAATGGAAACATTTCTGAATGCACTTGTAAATATGTACATGCAATACCAAGCGGCATAACACAAGCTTTGTGCGACACAACCTAGTACGCCTGGCACTCGCTTCATTGCACGCTCTCTATGTTTTCTGCCTATAAACACTCATACATATGTATAACTGCTCCACTGTTCTTCTACTGTCGCAAACTATTCTTTGGTAACTATTGCAATTTTTACGCTGTGGTCTCTGAACGCTTACGCACACAATTAAAGCTGCAAACTGCTAACAATTTACGCAAAAAGCAAAAGCTACGTGCAATTTTTATGTAAACAAACAAACAAAATTATTATACAAATACACACATACAAGTGTTAAACGCCAACTGTCATTGTCTACTGTCTTTTTTCTTCTTCCATTACATTTGTCAAATCACTTGTGTTCGTACGTGTGCGCGCCCATTTGTACTGTCAAAAATATCGAAAATACAAAACAAAATATGAAATAAAAAAATGTTAAATCATCAACCCTGGGGGTAATGCAGACGCTTAAAGAAATGTGCACATCTGCTGCCGCCGCTGCTGGTACTACTAACATACTCTATGGCCAGCGCGAACTCCATCACCAGTCACTCATAAATCATGGAATACTTAGCGCTTAGGCCAACAAAAGTGCCGAGCGCACAAGTCAAGCAACCGCAAGTGTTGCGCGATTTTTATTAAAAAAAATTTTAAACATATATTGAATAACACGTCGTCTTCATCTCGCCAAAACGTCTTAACTTCAACCAGCTGTCGTCACATGCGCCAGCTCTCATTTTTTGACATTTTGGAGCATCGTTTTTTATTCATATAATTAAAATCGTACCGTCAACGCACCGCAAAATCAAAATTTAACGCATAAATATTCGAAAAAACAACAACAAATCAACTGGTTAAACTAATTTTTAGACATAATCATATAAAATTTAAAATAATAATACTAATACTAAAATTTGTAAAATTCTATAGCATTTTGGCTTGTAAGAATTTGCGGATGCTGTTGCACTCGACTTGCTTTACGTTTTGGTAGCAATTTATTATTTTTTAACATTTTTAATTTTGACTTTTGGAGGCTTCTACAGCTTCACTGCACACAGACATAGCAAGTAGTTGCCACACTTTTATCTTTTTAGTTGAAATTATTATGCATTGAAAGCGGGAAAGAAATGACTTACAACAAAAAGCACACAACTATCAATATATTATATTATTATGTAAGGCTAAGGCTTTGTATGGTTAGCGCTGTTAGCGAACGGTCTACGCACAAAATATTTGGAAATGATCAGAAGTAGCACTTGTGTGAGTAGTACTTGCAAGCTTTGTGTGTCGAAATATGCTTAAAATTAGTGTTCGTCGATTGGATGTGATCTGTTGGGGGTTTCAAAAACATATTGACAGTGTTCGTCATTTCGATAAAATTCATAAATTTTCCAAAAAATATTATTCTAATACAAAATCGATTTTTTTTATTTTAATGCATAAATGCCTAAACTCTTATTTTCCTATTAAATTAAAAAATTGAAAACTTCGCCGTTTGGAATTCGGAGATATTTAAGACCCCTGATGCTTTCGGTTCGTCGATTTGATGAATTTTCTAAGAACATAGTTAAATTGAATTCCAATCATTAAATGTTAATTCCAATGGTTAAAAAGTACTATTAAAATTTGGTTTGAATATAAAATATTACACATTTCTTTGAACACTGAGAAAATAAAAATTGAAAAATTAAATAAAATTAATGGAAAATTGGGAGAAAATCAGTCCCAGCGGATTATTTTCAATCTAACACAACTTGAGAATCAAACTAAAACAGTCAGACCATGTAAACATCCGAGCTCTATTAAAGCCAAAATAAGTGGGCATGTGTCGGCCTTTTGTAGGTTATGATTTCTTGAAGAAATAATAAAAATTAGGATATATCGTTTAATTGAACGAACATAAAATGCAGAAAAATATATTTTATGGTCGTTCAATTATGCGACATAACCTCATTTTTATTGTTCCTTTAAGTAATCAATATTCTAATATATTATAAAAACTAATTCTTCTGCCAACATTTAGCTAACTTCTAAATACAGTTCGGTATCAATCGTCTTGTGGTTATTCTTTTCGAACAGCCAAAAGAATATGACACACAAACTTTTAAGCAGAAGTTGGAGCGTTAGCTTAGCTTAAAGTGCGCAAGCACTTCAATGAACATAAGACGCGCAACAAAAATTTTTAAAACAATTTAACCTTAAAAAAAAGTTTTGTAAAATTGTATGAGTTAAATTCATACAAATAATTTAGTACATCAATGAACATAATAGGGGCAATCAAAATTTAAATTGAAGAAATCGCATGAGATAAATTTTTTAAAATAGTTTTTATAGCAGAAATAAATATTTTTATAACAATTTAAGGGTTTTTAATTATTTTAGGTTTTATAAAAAAGTATTGAAAAAATGCAGAGTAATTATTTTTAATAATAATTTAAGGATTTTTCATTAATTACTGTTTTATAAAGAAGTATTGAAAAAATCTCATGAGATAAATTTTTTAAAATAGTTTTTATAGCAAGGATAACAATTAAAGGTAATATTTTTTAAAACGATGAGGATGCTAATCGAATATTTTGCTAAATATAAATTTTAGGCATTCAAAAAACTTAGGAGAACCTGTGAGTAACAGTTTAGGCTTTGGTTTCAAATATACTTATTATATTTATATTCCAAAATAAAAAAATTACAGCGTTTTAGGTTGAATAAAATGGACCTACTTATTTTTGACCATAAAAAATACTAAAAAAGTTGATTTTATTTTAACCATCAAGACGCGTACGGCAGCATCTGCAATTTCAGTTTCATATATACTAAGTTTTGTGTTGTAAAACCCATAAACCCAAACATACATACAAAAATGATAGTTTAACGCAAATACTTAATTTTTTATACTTAATATGAATTTAAATATTAATAAATATAATAAAAAGATAAATAAAAATGAATTATCACCTCATAAATAAATATTCTTTTTGGGGATAGTCTGATATAATGGAAATAAACTGTTTATTTTTCAATTTTCAATATTATAGAATTTTATGGTAATAGATGAAGATGTCATAGCCATTGAAAATATTGATTAAATAAAAAATAGTTATTTAATAGTATTAAAAAAATAAATTTATAAGTAAAATAAAAAAGGATCAAAATTTAATGATTATAAAAGTAAAACATGATAGCAGAGAACGTATATTTAT